CAACAAATAATGCCGAACTCTTTTCTATTGCGACACCTGTTCCTTGCCAGCAGTGCGAAAAAAAACTGAGCTCTACAAGAAACTTGAGAAGACATGAGCAAAAAGTTGACAAAATCCGTCCTCGCCTTCCTCCTCAAACTGTTTGCGATGAGTGTCTCGAATCATTCGAGAGTTTGTCTGAAGCCCGAGAGTACGTCGAGCTGGTACTTGACATGACTTCCAATAGTAATTGCATCTATTGCCATATAATATTTCTCACCGCGAAAGCTATGAACAACATTTGCTGAAGAAGCACGCATTGCCAGTTTGGCACGGCATTGAGACGACGTCTTCCGCTGCCCCATCGGAAAACGCGTTCAGAGGCAAATTGCGTCGATACGATCTCAAAGTTTGTGAAAAAGAAACGGATTTGCTTCAAGTCATGATGCAAAACAAGGAGGAAATAGATGCTCTCATACTGGAAAGGGTCAAATAGGGTCCAAACAAGGTGTAATTCCACGTGGAAACGGGAATGATCAAAATTCCCACTGTGCAAGACGTAGACAGTGGAAACTTCGAAAAGACCAAGCTGTTTCTGAACACTAAGACATTGACAGTGTACTTCGAGGGAATAGTTGGGGATCAATTCTCGGAACTGATTGAAGATATGGTCAACCAAGTCAATTTTTTCTCTTTTTATTGTAGCGTATTGATCATTGGCCGAATTGGAAAACTGCAAATCAGTTTTGCGGCCTTATCACCATTAAGAGCAGGATCCTACCTCGAGCTACCTGATGCACTCAGCGCTGCTTCTTCTCTGCCCACAAAATCAACACTAAAGATGATGACCGTTGCTTTCTCTGCTGCTTTGTTGCCGCATATCACAACGTGAATGAGCCGACCCTCTACCTCACATCTAGACGGTGGCCGGAGCAAAACAAAGTCTCAACCTACGATCTCGACAAAGAAAGAGTTGTGAAAATCAATGGGGAATACGAAATGCCAATGGGTCTGATGGATATGGACAGATCTGAAAAGCTGAACACTTGTCAAATCAACATTTTCCGGTAAGCAAATTCTATTTGCCCTTTGAAAACCTTAAAATTCCTTCATTAATATTCTTCAACTATTCAAACACCCTTTATCATTCAATCCAAACCTAGGCATAAAAATTATTTTTCTGTTCAGGTTCAACAATGGCGAATTGTTTCCCATAGGAGTATCGAGCAGATTCACTACTAGCCTGATTGTGGACTTGTTGCTGCTGACATATAGATCAAAATATCACTATGTGTTGATAAGTGATCTCCAGAAACTGGTCGAATACGTGCGGCACAGAGTGCACCGATTTCAATCTGAGATTTGCCGCAAATGTTTCCACACATGCGCTTCATTCGAAACTCTGAGAGGACATCAAGAATTGTGCTACCAAGATGAAGATGTCGTCAAAACAATGCCCAAGCCGGAATAAGATGATCACAAGTTCAAAAACTCAACAGCTCATTGGTCGTAACCAGAGTAATCTACTTTTATTTGGAGTCACTGCTCTAACCAGTATACGGACCGCAACATGATCCGCAAAAATTTAGCACGCAAACAACTGAAATCCAACAACTGTGCGGCTATGCATTAGCAGTAATCGAATTTTGGAAAAAAGACGTGTTAAAGTTTGAGCTTAAAAGAGGACCGAATGTGATGGAAGAGCTAATTAGCTCCCTTGAATCGTTAGCGAGACAAATTTACGAAGAAAAAAGGAAATATTACCCTTTCAACGGTATAACAGACCAGGAACGGGAAGATGCTACGCTTTTTTGGATATGCGAGTATGATTTTTAGGACAATGATCAAGTGGTACTTGATCATTGCCATTACACCAACAAGTTCATGGGTTGGGCACACAATGATTGTAACGTTAGTAGAAAAAAAAACAATTTACATTCCAGTGGTAGCTCATAACTTGTCAAATTATGATTTACAATTTATAATCAAAGCGCTGGCAAAAGCAATTCGGAAAACACTTTTTCCGTAATACCCGCATCTGAAGAAAAAAATATATCCTTGGCAATCTCAGTATAAATAAAAATTTACACGGGCAAAAACGGAAAAATCGAAATACTCGGAGATTCGACGATTCGTATAGGTTCGTGCTAGCACCGTTGGCAAAACTTGTCGATAATTTGGCCAACGAAAAAATTTTTCTGCGGGAGAAATATTTTGAAAAACTCGGCCACTCACCTGAAAAAGTAAGTATGCTGAAACAGAAAGGGCATTACCCCTACTCATACTTCAACTCATTCAAAAAATTCTGAGAAACTCGCCTTCCCCCGTGAGCAATGCGGAAAAATAGTCGAACAGGAGGGGATGTGAGCGTTTCAAGAAGCGATTACAATCATGCCTTATGAGTTTTCACCGAACTGATGCTTGCTTCCGTTTTCACTATTGCTTGCTTCCGTTTTCGAAGCTTTTCGTGTAGTTTGCTATCAAACTTACGGGCTGGATTGCGCCTGTTACTTCACGGCAAGTAACCTTTCCGGGGACGCCTTTCTAAAAGTTTGTAAGCCCGACTTGAAACTAATAAAAGATCGTGAACATCTGGACCTTGTGCAGCGAATGATACGAGGAGGCATGTTTTACGCGCGCCAATTTTACCAAGCAAACAAAAAATACCTCGTCGATCTTTCGCCCTCAGAACCATCAAGCTACATCCTCAAAATTGACGCAAACAATTTGTATGGGGGGATAATGAAACACTGCCCTTTGCCATTGAACGATTTTTCAATAAATGAAAAAAGTCTGGCATACATACTGCTCATCAGCGAAACTGCAGAACGGGGTTATATACTTGAAGTCAATTTGACCATACCCGAAAAGCTTCATGACTTCTTTGCTGATTACCCTCTTGCCCTCTCTCTTGAAGTAGTGGACATCGGTGCAATGAGCAACGAGCAAGTCGACATGTTGGGAAAATTGGGAATAACCACACTGCCAAAAGTGCCAAAGCTTCTTCAGACCCTGCATCCTAAAGAAAGTTATATTTTGCATTACCTTACCCTAAAGTTGTACGACGAGCTGGGAATGAAAATAACTCACCTCGGAAAAGTTCTTCAGTTCCGCCAAAGTCACTGGATGGCACCCGTTGTCGACCTCAACACCCGTCTACGAAAAGCCGCGATAAATAAATTCCAGGAGAATTTTTACAAGCTAATTGTTAGTTCAGCATTTGGTAAGACAATGGAGTCTAAGTTAGGAAGAAACCTAATCTAAACTTGGAACTTCTTTACTCCGACACCGATAGTTTTACTTATGCTATAAAAACTGACGACGTTTATCGAGACGTGGAGAAAAAACAAGCTGATTTCGACTTTTCAAATTATGATGTGGACCATTTCTTCTTCGACGATACCAACAAGAAAGTTGTGCTGAAGTTCAAAGAAGAGACTGGTGGGAACGCGATGAGGGAATTCATCGCCCTAAAACCGAAACTATATTCGGTCGTCCTAAATGGTAAGTAAAAATTCCAACTTAGGCCACCCTTCCACCCCCATTTCTTTCTTTTTACAGAAAAAAATCAACACCACCACCACCACCTCCCTCGCTCCCTTAATTTGTTGCAATAAACTATGGGCATTTAACTAATTTAGGCAACATTATACAATGTTGCCTAAATTTCAATTTATCTGAAAACATATTTCTTTTCTTTTCCTCAATTATAATCATAGCTTAGAGTCTTCTGCTTTTTTTGGTAAAATTAATTTGCTTAGTATAAATTGAGTTGCTGAAGTGAAATGAAAATATCCCTTGCCTTGTACGAAAGAATAATAATTCTGGTTCTGTTTAGAAGGAATTCAAAAATTGAGTGCCAAAGGAATAAAACGGAGTGCACAGCGAGAACTGGTCTACCAAACCTTCAGGGACACAATGTTTACTGGAAAAACAATGAGAGTGTACAAATATAATATAGTTTCGAAAGGTCACATCAATATGACTGTGAAACAAAACAATTTTGTATCGGGTCCCGGTTGTTAAGGTCAGCTTAACAAGATCCTAAGGAGGGAGTCTTATAGTTTAAGGGTGGGAACTTGCGTTCATTTACAAAATCCTAGGATATAGGTCCTCCAAAAAATTGAGGACCCCTTTCCTAGGATTTTGCTTTACGTCAGGAGTCCCCCCCCCCCCCAGGGAAGTACCCCCCCCCCCCCTTAGGATCCGGGACACGATACAATACTACAGATGGTTTAGCGACCAGATTTGTGACAAAACTTTATGTCTTAAACCTGCAATCTGACTCTGGGCGGGTGGATTAAGGGGGTTAGGGGTGATTTCAGATTAAGGTCTGACATTATCGAATAAACAAAGCCGGTTTATGTAGCAATCAGAACGAGAGGAGCAAACTTGCAACGAGAATTTTATTGGTCTTTTTATAGTAGTTATTTAAGAGTCGGATAAATGTAGCCAGTGAAACGTCACGATATCTAAGCTTCCAAGCTTGTTTTTAGATGACCTAGGTGGCCTGAACTATGGCTCTCAGTTTTTATTTGACAACTTTTTACAATCGATGTGACGGAATGCTTTTGTTCTTCAACTTTTAGCTCAGCCGATATAAACTCAAATTTGTTCATTGAAGATTTTTTAAAAGCTTAGAACTCAGATATCTCAGCTTTAAATTAACTTGATATCAATATCATTATTTCAAGGTTCTGGTGCGCCAGCCAAAGAAAAAGTTTTGTAAGCCATTATTTCTTTTGAAATTCACGAGCAAATAAAATTTTCTGCAAGCCTGAAATGATTTCTCGCACAGCCCTGAGAGACATAGTTCTATCGATTATTTTTTGCCAGATTCCAATTGATACTTTTTATAACCTCGTCATTTTGATGTGATCGTAATTTTTTGCCTGCTAAATGAACAATAGAAAGCCACTTTGATGTGTAATTGGTTTTACAGATTGGTTGTGATTGTGACAGACCGATAACAGCACCACAATAATTTTTTGGTAATTTTTCAGCCGCCAATTATTGCCAGTGTTTCAAATACTGCGTGGGATAACAATTTTTACAGCTAGAGGTCTCTCAGTGCGCATCTTTTGACTTTCACTTTTGGTTTGAAAAAAAACCATCTTATTCTCATTTCTCCAATTGCATAAAAAGGGGCATAGGAAATTAGTCAACAAACCAATTAGACGTGATCAGAAAAAATTGAAACTTGGGAAAACAGAATTAATTGTACTGTTAATGTATTCATTGTACTGTTACGGTCTTTTTACTCGCCCAAATTTTTTAATTTGGCGATTTTGTAGTATTCAATCTAAAATGCAGAGAACAAATCACCGCGCCGATTGCTTTGATTAATGCAAATGCAATTTTTATACTCTTTAGCTGATTTCAAACAAGACTGACTTTTGTGAAGGTGATCGTTTTTTTCCTGAAGTTTTTTTCTGTGCTTTTATGGTCCAAAAACCTGCTGCACATAAATTCGAATAATTTACCGAGAGTTTTATAATTTTGGCCAACTCGGTTTATTTACAGGTCGACTTGAACAATTTTCCTCTTTTAAATCAAACCCGCTTGAACCCATTTTCTATTTCATCTGAAACATAATTTTAACCGTGACCATTTTGTTGTAAAAGTAGGAGAGTTAGACCGTTTCCAATATGACCTATTTGGGAATAATTAACCAGCGATATTTTAACGCTTAAGTGGCAATTTTTTCCAGCTCTTGAACAATCACAATGAAATCGGAAAGAGCTGTTTTCCCTTGTTAGTACGTTAGTGAATGTCAAATTCAAAAACTTGTACTTTTTACAAAATGTATGAGAAAAAATTTGAAAAACCTTTAAAGGCCTTCCTTTTTTGAAAGTTTTTCAGGTTTATTAAAATGCTTTTATCAGATTTGTGTTCATAGATTTAAGTTACAGTCGGATCCTCCAGGTCGCCGCCTTGGTAAAAGCAACTTTTTCACGTCGCTTTCATCAAACTTGAATTCTTAGATCTAAATGACAGTCGGAACTTCCAGACCGTCGCCCTGGTAAGAGCATTTTTTTCAAGTCGCGGTTAAATTTTTGCGGGCTTAATTCAACCATGCCTAAAACAATTAATTAAGCATATCAGAATTTAAAAAGTTTCAAAAAACGAAAGGTTTTGCAAAATTTTCTTAATATAATATTTTTTTGGGAGTAAGATTTCTAATTTTTTAGCAGTTTTTTAGCAACTATGTTGATAGGTTTTTAGTACTTTGAAAATTTTGTTTGGCATTGTTTAGCAACATTTTTCACAGCCCTGCTCAACGCGAGTTGTTACCTCAAAAAGAGTTAAGTTACGTAAGAATTTCGGGTTCACGACAAGAGAGGCAAAATACATAAAGGGTGAAAAAAATTCAGTTGCCGAAAATATTTTTCAAATCAAAGATTCACAATGGCTTAGATAAAGCTGTGAAAAAAGTCAAATTGTCCGCAAAAAAATGGCAGCAATTACACTTCTGTAACTGCTGCTGCTATCAATAAGAGCAAACAAGACTGCTCGTATCAGGGCAAAGCACTGAATGTTCCGACTACCTTTTAAGGTTCATGGAGCAGCAGTAACATAAAAAAATAAATGTAATAAAACAAAATGAAAAAACAATTTCCAAAATTTAAAATTTTTTTTACGAAATCATCACCCCACACGCCAAATAAAGTACAGTAGAATAGATTTCTCTCATTGTAATAAATCAATTATGGCAAATAAAGCTTCTTTCAACCAATTTGGAACAATTTCTAAGACGCGAAAGGTATCGCGCGTTATTTGTCCCAAATTGGCAAAAATGGCAATCTTTAAATCCCCATAACTTTACGAAAAACGATCACAGGTGAAATATCTTTTCAAATTTAAGCTAGTGACAACAATACGTTTTGAATGAAATTTAAAAAATCCGTCAAAAAAGGCTAGGTAAGAAGTCGAAATTTGTCTGAAGAAAAAAAAACCCACCCGAGCACAAATATTCCGTTACTTTCGTATCGAAAGTCGTAACAATAAGCAACTCTCTTGGATAAGCGTTTAAAAAATTTGTGTAAACAATGACTAGAGCTCTGTTGTAGCACATCAATCAATTTCAAACTCTTAAGACCTACACAAAAAATTCAAAAATGTCCCATTTTAAAGTAAAAGAAGTTAATATCTCTAAAAATGATTACATTTCAGGTACTATGAAACAGTATTTCTTCCGACTTTTTTAGAAAAGATGGAACACTTGCGCTGAATGTGACTTTTTTCAGAAAAATTTCAATTGTTAAATTATTCTTTGGTGAATTAAATTTATATATCATCAGAAAATCATATATCAGAAAATCACTGGTGTTTTGAACTCAGTTGTAGGAAGATAATTCATCTGTGATCATTTTTCTTATAATTTTGGGGTCTGAAAATGGGTGATAAAGCTGGCTTGGGACAATTAATCAAACTTTTTTTTCATCCTATCAACGCGTTAGCGTCGAGTTAATGTTCCGACAATTGAAAATGGGGAGGAACGTTGTATTCGGGTGTGTTTTTGTTTTTTCGTTCTTTTTTTAATTTTTTTCTCTTTTCCACGTTGAATCAGATACCACAAATAATTACCGGACCAGGATGGGGGCTATGTTATTTTAAACCTTCATCAGTCGTGATTTCAACCACGTAAAAAAAGTGTTTTCAAAGTCGAGAAAAACCGGTTTGAAACTTTTGATTTTTTGTCCAAAATTGAGCGAGTAAACCGAGCGAGCAGGCTTATTTATGCTTAATTTCAGCCGTTAACAGATGCTTAATTTAATTTTACTGAGGTAAAGTTTGTTTTTATAGTTTTTAACGCCATTTTGATAATCAAAATTTCAAAAAATCAAAAAAATTTCTGCAAAAAAATGAAAAAGGTTTTGAATTTTTTTAAAGGAAATTTTGTTTTTTTTTCTAGTCATTTTTCTTCAAAAACTGTTGCTCAATTTACCTTTCTTACTATGACTCAAATATATTCAAGTTATAGTTTTTTGTTAAAATCTTTTTATTATTTCCGCGCAGAAAAACTACACTAATTTGAAAACCTTTTTTTGTGCTTCTTAAAACTATGATCACAACACTCTGTGCTACTTGCACAGTAACCTATTTTGTTCCATTTGAGAAATTGTACGAAACTTACTTGAGGCAAGCTTCTTATTTTATTGCTAGCCGTTTATTTTATCACTTTACACTCTATATAGCGTGTGGCAGTTTTTCATTCATAATTTTCTTTTATGAAAAACAATCGCATAGATCTCAAGGGACAGTCGGAACATTCAAAGGTTTGGCCTGGTACACCCTGGCCTGGTTTTCGGTTCTCTTGTACTCCTAATGCCGCCGAATTTTGTTTGATTTAGGCAACCTTTTTCAAAATGGCTGATTTTTCTTTATTTCGAAACCAACCTGGGACTGTTTATAATTATCAAACTAATTTGAAAAGAATGTGAAACGAACTTATTTCAAAATGAATTTGGAAATTTATTTTATGTTGAAGCGTTGCCTGGTGAAACACCGGTCACTCGTTAAACTAATGGACCGTTTTGCTTGAGCTAAGGCCGCAAATTAGTTCAAGAACAGTGTCAATGGTCCGACCAGAGCCTCATACATGAGCTGCAATTATTTAAATTTAGTTCTGGCACACTTCACGCAGGTCACAATTTGATCCATCTGTTTGATAAATAAAAATATCTTTGATCTGCGATGAGCTTTTTTCATTTCAGTTTTGCCAAACTGGCCTGTTATTTTTTATTCGAATGCTTTAATTTACTTGACTGGAATTTGATGAAGTTTCTCCGGCAGAACTGCCGCTTGGAGCAACCATGCATTTCAGATTTAAAATTTTAAACCTTGAAAATGCATCATTTTGATGTATGGCTTTTCTTAAAAGTTATTTAACCCTTATAACCCTATTGTTTTTTGCAACCCGTCCCATTTCTTCGAATAAACTTCCCAACAAATATGTCATCAAGGTATTCCTTTCTTTGACGTCAAGAGCCGCAATTTGGGCCAGTTGCGGTACTTTCTTTCCAAATGACAGTTTAAGGAACCCAATTACGCTTTGAGTCCACCCTTCCTTTTAAAGCCCGCCTTCTTCTTTGAAAACCGCCATCATCTCATCCTCTATCTCATCCCGAAAATATTAATTATTTAAAAGTAACCGGTGGTTCCAAATAGCCGCAGAGGATACGAAGAATAAATAAACTGCTGTCATAGTTTATCGTGAT